AAACAGATATTTCACATTACCCTTGGATCTGTACCATCTGATAAACTGACAAAGTCATGATCTTCTGGTCAGCTTGAACAATCTTAATCCTTTCAGCTATAGCACCCTCCTGATGGTCCTCATCCTTCTCTGAGAAGCAGAGTAGTAGCATGATGCACTCCTCCTCTCACTGGGCAACCAGCCCCTCTCAAACTCAAAAGGTAGCTGTCACCAAAGCTGGAACATCCATCTCTCAATATCACTGCTTGGTCATCTGTGCTTAGGGAAAGAAACATAAAACAGAATTGGCAACTCGAAAGTCGAGGTACAGTCTTGGGCTCACCTGGGCAAGTGTGTGTTCTCACCATCATGTGTTCATGGGGCCCGGGATCACGTGGTGAGTAAAGCAAAAATTGAACTCAAAGCTTCCTGACTCCAGGTATAGTGTTCTAGTTGCCACAGCTGCTGAGAGGAAAAGGAGAAAAGAGGAAAGAAGCCCCACACATGTACCCTATCCCCTACCCATATTATGAAGTCCAAGGAAGAACTGGCACTGGCTGTGCCCTAACAAAGAGAATGCCTCAAAACAACAATAGCCATAAGCCATCCCTTCTACCTTCTTATGGCCCACAGAGCTGGCAGCTCTTCCTGGCTCAGTCATCAGTCATCCCTCCCTCTATACACACACGCACACACACACACACACACACATCATGGAGACCAAGAAAGCAACCAGGAGCCTCTGGTGATTCATGCCAATGTGTTCATCTCCATCCATTGGAAGTATGCCAATCCAACATCTGCTACATATAAATATGAGAAAGTCAGAGTATGTATTCATAGTTTCTGATGCCTTCTTGCTTGCTTGCTTTTTTTTTTTAAAGGCAGTTGGGGTTAAGTAACTTGCCCAGGGTCACACAGCTAGTAAGTATCAAGTGTTTGGTCTGAGGCTGGATTTGAACTCAGGTACTCCTGACTTCAGGGCTGGTGCTCTATCCACTGCACCACCTAGCTGCCCCTTTGCTTGCTTTTTTAAAAGATAATATCATCATCTATTGTTTTTTCCATCCTTTTAGTATCTTCCCTATTTTGAGATATCTTGAGAATCAGCTCCTGTCGATGGATTGTTTATTGATTGATTGATTAATGTCACCTTCTGCACAGATTTTATCCATCTATGTGGTCCAGTCATTCTTCCTGACTTTCCCTTTTTAAGTGACGTTTCTAATTCCTCATATAGTGTACCTGTACTATAGTACTGAGATGTCAGTTTCCAACTATGGTGGTTAATTTCATCAACAATGAGAATAAATGGATACAGAAACCCTGGCAAATCCATTTCATTTTATATGTAATCCAACCCAATACATTTTCCTTAAGTACCTACTAAGTGGCAGGAACTGTGCTAAACATTAGGGATACAATTAATAAAAGGAAAGACAATTCCTGCCCTCAAGGCACTTACAGTCCAAGGGGTGAGACAACATACAAAAGGAGACAGGAAAGGAGGGTGAGGAACCAGGGAGTATCTCATTGCTTGGAGTTAAAACCAGTTAGAACAGCAAATGCAGAGTGGAGTGACTGGAAAGGCCAGTTTCCACCCTCCAGCCCTCCAGTCTGATAAGGAGAGGAAGCTGAAGGGTATAGTGTCAATGAGTTTAATCTGGGAGGGGCACTCATTTAAATCTATCATCTTCTTTCCAGTTTCACAGATAAATGGTACAGGAATAATTCTGCTTCCTTGTGCCTCCTGCTAAGCTTTCCACAGGCTTATTTTCTCATCCACTGCTTTTTTTTTCCCTTCTGCTTTTCGAAGCAATATACCTCGTAATTTTCCACCATCTTTCTTTCTGATGCTTCACTATAAAGTGGTGTTGCCATTCACTGCCATTTGCCTCCACGTGCAAGAAGATTAAGTATTTTCCTAGATGGCAATTTCTGGCCTCCTTGTTGTAGTGACTGTCGTACATTGTTTAACCTTCTGTAAGAGATGATGATTATCAAAATAAATGTCTTTACCTTTATCCATTTCCCAAAAAATTGTTAGGAATAAAATACTCTATAAATTTGACAGCACTAGAGAAACATAAATTATGATGAATAATTTTTCCTCAGCCAATATCCTCTTTCTTATTTTGGCGTAGAAGTGACCCTGGGTCTTAATCAATCAGCAAACATTTATTAAGTGTCTGTTATGTGCAGCTAGGTAGCACAGTAGTGAATAAAGCATTGAGCCAGGAGTTAGAAATGACCTGAGTTCAAATCTGGCCTCAGACACTTACTAACTGTGTGACCATGGTCAAGTCACTTAACCCTATTTGTCTCTGTTTCCTCATCTGTCAAATGAGCTGGAGAAGGAAATGAAAAACCTCCAATATCTTTGCCAAGAAAACTCCAAATGGGGTCCCAAAAAGTCAGACACGAGTGAAACAACTGAACAACTATGTGCTAAGGTCTTAAAAGCTGTATCTTCAGGATAGGAGTATTGGAAGTTCCTACCAAGCTGGAAAGGCTTTGACTATAAACTTTGTGACATTTTGTATGTCTTGTCCAAAAAACCAAGCTAGTAAAGTACAGCAATGCTCATCCTCAGAGGGATGACTTGGTAGCTAAGGAATTTGTTTCAGCCACAGCAATTAATGAAGACAGTCTATTAAAGAAGGGGATAGGATCTGATTGGTAGAAAAAGAATCCACAACAATAAAATAATGACTTCTTGAAGAATTAAACATTATTAGTATTTCTTTATTTCATAAATTTCCAGGAAAAATCATATGTTTGTATATATCAAATGCAGCGAATGAGGGAGAAACTGGTCTAATGGAAATAACATCAAGCTGGCATCAGAATGTAGGGGTCTGGTCCTGGCTCTGTTGCTGACTTGAGCATATCACTCAATTGCTTTGTGACTCAACTTCCCCTCTGTAAAATGGGTACAACTGTTTTGAACTCTTGCTACTTCCTTCTAGGTGAGAAGGATTGTAAAATCAGAGGAAGGAATATTACTAAGAAGCTTAAGATAGTTTTTCTGAATGGGGTGTGGCTGAAGTAAGGTTAATGAGAAAACCACTGAGAGTTTTAGCCCTAGCCACACCAGGAGTGGGTAGGCAGGGAAGAATAATACCTGGATGAAAGATACTTGTAGAAATATTTGAAAGTTTGTGCTTTTCCTTTGGGATGAGTCTATATACAGGATGGCAGAGGAAGCAGAGAGGAAGGGTACACCCACACCCTGCCCATTACATCCCCCATGCAGTCAGCCTGTGATACAACAGGAGAGCTACCATTTTCCAACCAGCCATGGGGGAGACAACTTGGAAAGAACACTTGGAATTTGGGAGACCTGGGCTTTAGCTCCCAGCTTTTCCACCATCTCGCTCTGTGACTTCTGGCAATACGTAGATGAATTAGAGAGATAGAAATAGATAGATACAGATATACAATACATACTCACGTATACACACATACGTATGTATATATACATATACACACATATATTCGTATGTGTGCATCCTAATTCTAACACTAGCTATGTGACCTTGGACACGTCAATTGATCTCTCTGTGCCTTAGTTTCCTCATTTGTAAGGTTAGGAGGTCATTCTAGAGGATGCCTATGATCCTTTCCCGCTCTAAATCTACAATCTTGTAATCATGGTGTGAAGGTGATTCTGAACTCTAGGAGGCTTTGCCAGCTAAGTGTAATCTCTGGCAGGTCCCAACAAGCAGGTAAGGTTTTGAGTCTTGTGACATAGTCTTTATGTTACTTCATCTGTAAAATGGGGATAATAATACAGATACTACCCACTGTATAGGATTGTGAGGAAAGGACTTTGTAACTTTTAAAGCAGTATAGAAATGTGTGTGGGGTGTGTGTGTGTGTGTGTGTGTGTGTGTGTGTGTTACTCAAAGAATTACAGAAGCCCATTGTTGGGAGAGCCTGAGAAACTATCTAACTTGATCCATACCGGAATAGCAATCCCTCTCTCTATCACATCCCCAATATAGGTGTGTAGTCAAAAGAACTGGTTTGAAATCTGGCTTAGTTATATGTGTGACCTTTGGGACATCCCATTACCTTTCTAAACCTCAATTGCCTCCTCTGCAAAAGGAGGGGCTTGGACTAGATCAGGGGTTCTTGATCCATCCTAGGGACAGATTTCAAGGAGTCCATGATTTCGGATGGGGAAAAATGCATCTTTATTTCAACATAATTGCTTTCATTGATAATCCTGTATATTTTGTGCATTTAAAAACATTATTCTGAGAAGGGGGCCTTAGTCTTTACCAGACTTTCAGAGGGGTCCAGGACACAAAAGGGGTTAAGAACCCAGGACTAGATGATCTCTAAAGTTTCTTCTGGATCCAAATCATATGATTTATGCATGTGTCATGTGCTTGGGGGTGGAGGATTAGGTGGATTTCTGGTTAGGTTAACTAGAATAACAAAACTGGGGAATGTCAGAACATTCTCAGAGATCTCATAATCTAACCTCCCTTATTTTACAATGGAGGAAGGAAACTGAGGGCCAGAACTGGTAAGTAACTTGCCTAGGGACGTATATCTAGTTAGTGGCAGAACAGGTAGGACTTTCAAAGAACAGTATTCTTTCCACTAACGCTCTATCTGCTCATCCTTCCCAAGAGAAATACAGGTTATCTCACTGGGCAAATGCTTGATTAGAGACCCGTTCCTGGCGTTTCGATAATGAAGTTGTAGAGAACGCTTATCTGAGTCTATTTCTATTAGAGGAGAGTATAGTCATCCCAGTTTCTCAGGGATCAGTTTTCCGGACCTCAATATTCACCAGCATTATAATACCCAACACTGGGGAGGAGATTTTACTCAAAAACAGAAATGAAAGATTTGGAGTATCTGTGAGTTTCCTTAATTGTCCCCCTGCCCCCGCAGGAATGGTGGGAATTGCTGGTTATACAGTCCAGTTGGCCTGAGTCAGGGAAATCTTGCGCACGGGGGTCATTAGGCAGGGATGTGGTTCTCCTAAGAGCCTGGGATTTCAGGTCCTGAACCCGGCGTCTGTCGGACACCTGTTCGCTGGCAAAGGAGCCTCAGGGAGGCGGCCCCCTCGGCCCCGCCCCCTGCACTTGTCCCAGGCCCTGGTTGGTCCGTTGGGCGAGCTATGTTAATGAGATCTGACCCTTATTGCACCTGACTCGGAGCCCCTGTCCAGCCCTAGAGGGCAGGGAGGAATGCGAGCCTTTGGGGCTGTGTGACCCTCCCGGGCTGCAGGCAGGACTGGCGGCTCCCCAGGGCAGCGGCCGCTTAGCCCGCATCTGGGACCTCCCCGGGGAATCCACGGGACTCACAGGGCCAGAGCCCAGTCGGCTACCCCCTTCTCACTCCCAGGGAAGATGCCCAGATCCTTTTTGGTGAAAAAGCACTGGAGCAACCGAATCCCCAATTATGGCCAATTGGAATCTCAGAAAGGTAAAGGAATGTCCCGGTGGGCAGCTGGCGATACTGGGGAGGGGGGGAGGGAGGGACTCCTCACTGGTCTCCGAGGCGCCAGCGGCGGCCTTCCGGGGGAGACACAGGAGAAGACAGTCCCCCGCTCTCCTTTTGGGGAGTAAAACTAATTTTGAAAAGCGGGCTAATTGATAGGAGAGTCAGAGCAGCGAGAGAACGAGCTGGCGGCACAGAGCCCAGGGGCTCCTTGTGCTAGCAGGTGCAAGCCCGGCAGGAGTCCGCGCTGGAGAATGCGGGGGCGGCGGCGTTGGGGGGGGGCGGTGTTGGAACTTCCTTGGGAACATTGACGGGGAAGGGAAGGAGGGAGAAGGGGGCTGCCAGGGGAGCCGGGGACCTGAGACTATGGCCCCAAGCGGGAACCCACCTACTGCGCCCGACCTTTGCCTCCGGGCCGATTCGCAGCTGTCTCGGCCCCCCAGTTGGGGTGTTTAAACACCCCAAATCTGTCGCCAAATTCCTGGGAAAGATCTTGGGGCTTGGGGACCGGCCGGACCTAGGTGTTCTTCCGGACCTTTCCGCTAAGGGCTGATAGAGTCCCTCCCACGCTCCTACCGCCCCAGATGGGACAAGCAAAGAAAAAAGCAGGTGCTTGGTGGCGGCGACTCCCCTCCCTTGGCCCCAGGATACTCTCGAGCCCCGGGAGTTTCAGACTCAGCTGTGGTTGCTCCCTGTAGCTCCGACGGGGCCGATTTTTTTCTGGACAGGAGGGGAAAAGCAATCTCTACTTCTGTCTGTCTGTCTGTCTGTCTGTCTGTCTGTCTGTCTCTCTCTCTCTCTCTCTCTCTCTCTCTCTGTCTCTGTCTCTCTCTGTCTCTCTCTCTGTCTCTCTCTCTGTCTCTCTCTCTCTCTCTCTCTCTCTCTCTCTCTCTCTCTCTCTCTCTCTCTCTCTCTCTCTCTCTCTCTCTCTCTCTCTCTCTCTCTCTCTCTCTGCCTTTCCCCCGGAGGAGAGAATAAGATTGAAGGGTTAGGTATCCCTTTTCTCCCGCCTCTCCAATGATTTCGAATTCCACTCCGGGCTGGTGTCTGACAGGAGTAGACACTTAGACTCTCTGTCTCTCTCTGTTTCTTTCTGGAACAGACATTTACTTAGAGGAAAGAGAAGGTCTCAATGGCCCATTCCAGACAACAGCCACAAGCTGAATTTAAACTCCTTGGAAAAGTGTGAGAAAGAGGGACCAAGGCCTCATCCATTCCTATCAGCCCTGAATCCTTCTATTTCTAACTCTTCAAGTTCCTTTCCCTAACCTTCCTACCTCATGGAGACTTCCTAAGGGGCTGAGTTCTAATTTACTGAATGAAAAGATTCTCAGACCTTCTTACAATTCATTGGCTGGAAACTGTAAGGAATCCCCTCATTTTACAAAGGAGGAATTTGAGGCCCAGAGAAGGGAATTGATGTGCTCAAGGTCACACAAGCAGAAAGTAGCAGAGCCTTGATTCAAGCCCAATTGAGTTCTCCTCCTACAGCCTTTGGAACCACCCCCCGCTGAGCCATTTCTGGGTAGGGGAAACAGCAAGTAGAACTTTTTCCTTCAGAGAAGAGCTTATTTGGAGGCATAAGAACACAGTCCTCTGACTTGATAGAGCAGCTGCCACTATCTGGGGATCGGCAAACAATCTGAGAGAGGATGTTACTCTGTATACCCCAAAGTAGGAGGGGGAGAAACCGAGGGGGGTTTAGAATGTCTTTGTGAAGGGTTATTTTTTCCTGTGCAAGGGACTAGTCACCTGATCAAACACTCCCTTCTAAGCCCCTGAAGTCCATTGTTTGGCAATGGTATCCATACCGTCAAAGTGAATTATTCATTAACACATGTCCATGTCCACTCCCTACACCCCCCCCCAAGTAATCACCACATGGATAAAGATCTCAATTTCCAAATGACTTCCATTAATGTCAGTGCCCAGAGCCATCCATAAGGGGATGTCTCTCCATCCCCAACCTGATATCACTTCAGTAAGTGAAATTGGGTTAAAATTCTGAGTAGTCTGGGGAAAGGGAATATGAGAGGCTGGCTATTGAAGAGGAGAAGAGGTGTTTGGGGAGGCTTGACCCTAATTGCCTGTATACTAGTCTTTTAAAATACCAACTGGTAAGATTTCCTGCTGGAGGCCCTGGGCAGCTCCAACCACCTGTCTCTGGCTAGGGTGGGGTTGTTGGTCGTGGGTCTAGCCTATATCACTTTTCCAGGGTAGACTTTCTGCTGGGGGAACTCCTGTGTCTTTAGATGGTCTGGGATAGCCAGGAGTTTGCTTTTGAGTAGGTGCTCTCCTTGGAGGGTTCTCTTGGGAATTAGAGCATCCAAATTACCTGAACCCACAAGGATTGAAGACTATTCTACCGGAGACCCTGACCTCAGAGAACAAGAGAACAACAAAAGAAAGAAGGAAAGCAATTTAAAAATATATATATATATATAGATAGATAGATAGATAGAGATAGAGATATATCTATATCTATATATATCTCCACAGGCAGGCACGGAGTCATTAAGTGCCATCTGAGGTGGTCTGGTGGCATTCCCATCAAATAGATTTTTTTTTCCTTACATTCCTCTCTCTCCCTGCCATCTTCTACCCTTTCTTCCTCTTTCCACCTTATTCCTTAGGCCTGTCCATGGCACCTATAGCTTTTGCTTGGCTCTGCTGTTGGTGCCACCCAAGAATAATAAGGTTGCTGAGCCTCGAAGGTTGCAGGGAAAATAACTTCTTAGTGTCTAGAGAAGGAAGTTTAGGAACTGCTGTGATTTCATTAATATGGGGAACATCTAGATGAGAAAACTCCTGTGAATGCTCATCAGCTTAGAGTTGCCTACAGCACTGAGAAGTGACTAGTCCAGGGTCACACAGAAGCAGTTCTTGAACCCAGTCCTCCTTTGCTCTAAGGCTAGTAGTCTACCCACTAAGCCCTACTGCCTCTTCTATCTGATTGATTATGGTTCCCGGAACTGAAGTGGATCATTCCGGTGACATAATGGAATGGAATTCTTTGGGGCCTCTCTCCTCTCCAAGGAACTGAAAGCTCTTCTCCTAGCTGCCACACCCCTCCCTGAAGAAGGACAAAGGATAAGATGGAAACAGGATTTATTCTTTTGACCAATGGAAGAATTAAAGTGGGAGAGGTCAAAAATGTAGGAGAGAATCAAACACTAAATTGAATGAGGAATGGCAGTGGCTGGAAAAATTGTCTGCTGTACCTCTCTTTATAGATAGGGTTTGCAACAGGTAAGTACTAGTAACTGATTTCATAATGATTGCTCACAGGTATTTATTACATGCCTGTGATACAAGCAATGTAGTCATAGACCGTATTTATGTGTTTCTTAGTTCTTTTCCTCCTATGAATTCTTCCATACATCTTTCTGATTATATACCAGGGCTGGACTGGGGGAAGAGGAGGGCCCACCCAAGAACAATATAGTGCATCCCAAAAATCTTAGTGTACTTTCTAACTTCAATGGCTTAACACTACATGAAGACTTTGGGGGAGGAGGGGCAGCTAGGTGTCGAAGTGGATATGGGGGATATTACGTGTGGACACATATGTATGTGGGATGTTATGGAACATTTGTTAAAACTTTTTTATGAAGAAATGGTTTGGAAAAAGACTCCAGCCAGGTCTAGAGTCAGGAAAACTCATCTTTGTGAGTTCAAATCTGGCCTCGGACACTTCTTAACTGTGTTACTGTGGGCAAGTCACTTAACTCTGTTTGCCTCAGCGTTCTCATCTGTAAAATGAGTAGTATCTTTGCCAAGAAAACTCCCAAAGGGGCCATAAAGAGTTGGACATGACTGAAACAACCCAGCAACAAGAGAATAACACATGTGGATGGGGAAAAAAGCAGATGCCTTTAATCTACTAACATTTTCAAAAGCCTGGAAATATACGCTTGACTAAAAGAAAAGGGAAATAGGGGGAAGAGAGAGAACAAAAGAAGAGAGGGAGAAAGGGGTGGGAAGAAGAGGTAGAAAAGAATGGGTGGATTTCAGCCTTGGTCGGTTTCATTAGTTTGCAGCTGCATTGTATGTGTTGGATTTGATGGGTCAGGGCTAGAGCTGGCCAACAGGTGTGACTAGGTCTCCTAAAAAGTGACCCCTGGAAGGAGGGAGGGGAGGGCAGATCACTATCATTGCAAAGCTGTTTGCTCAGAGTGCAGAGCTAGAGTTATCTCTGTGATGATTCACTCTCAACACCCTCCCCACCCCCCAATGCCCAGGAGCCAAGAGTCCAGGTCCTCTCAAAGAGTATCATGTAGTAAAATGGAAGAAATAAATACGTAAAATGAAGCAGTAACATGAAATTCTGGTTAAATGCTGAGTTCCAAATGGAAGTTCCCTCGCTCTTTCCTGAAAAATAAGCAGATCTTTAAGCCTTCTGTAGTGTGCAGGGGCTATTTGGTCAGGGTTTAACTGAAGCAGATATTCTATCGTTTAGGGTCTCACCGTTTCATGATCTGCCTTCCATAATCCACTATACTGTGAGCTCTGAGAGGGAACACATTTGTTTGGGTTTTTTTTTTTTGCCTTTCTTTGTATCCCTAGCATTTACCAGGTACACAGCAAGCATCTAATAAATGTTCTTTGATTTGACTTGTGGCATACTTGTCTGAGGGGTACAGTTATAAATTACCTTGGCTCATTGCCTTTTTCCTGAAAAGCCAGTATTCTTTCCAAGCTACTAAAAATCTCTAACTGAAGATCAATGACTATATTTGAAGGTCAAGGAGTATGAAAAATCATCAGAGAGAAGGAGAGGGCTCCTCTCAGGGGCCCCCTTTTTGTCTCTCTCCAGGGATATAAATACTAGTTCTATATTATGTGTGGATACATATGGATGTGGGATGTTATGGGACATTTGTTAAAAACTCTTTTATGACCCAAGAATCCAGGGGCTCATTCTGAGATTTTGGTTTGGAAAAGATTCCAGAATTTAACCATAACCCATTGGACTAATCTGTTTACACTGAGGACATTTAAGCTTAGCTGCTTAAGCCTCTGACCCCTCTACCTGCCTGGGAGATTGTGAGACTTGAATTATGGTGTTTTGGCTTGTAAATGCTAGTTTTCATGAGTGGCTTCTCCCCAGCTTAATTGTGGATTTTTAGTCTTTGTCTTGAGACAGCTAGGTAACACAGTGGATAAAATGCTGGACCTGCAGTCAGGAAGACTCATCTTTCTGAGTTCAGATCTGGCCTCAGACACTTCCTAGCTGTGTGATCCTGGGGAAGTCACTTCACCCTGTTCGCCTCAGTTTTCTCATCTGTAAAATGAGCTGGAGAAGGACATGGCAAACCACTCCAGTGTCTCTGTCAAGAAAACTCCAAATGGGGCCCTGGAGAGTCAGACGTGACTGAACAACAACAAAATCTTGCTGTCGTTAATGTGTTTTAGATGTTGTTTAGTAACATCCACTCTAGGTGTAGCCAGGATGATTGAAAATTACAGATAATCTAGCTGGTCTGGCTTGTTGCATCAGCTGAGCGTGTGGCCATTTGGTAGGAAGGATGGCTGAAGGAATCCACCGCGTTGACTAATCCACCTGGGGATAAATGATATTTGTATGTTTATATTTTCCGTGCTGCCTACTGCTCCAGCCGCCAGGGCTGCTCAGAAACCTAGAGAAAGAAAGCTGACAAAGCACTGATGTTTTTAGATCCTGAAATGGCCTAGATGCTGGTGATAGGGTGGGTGGGGCAGAAGCTCTGTCTGCCCTGCAACGAACAATGGTGTGGAGGTCCCCCTTGTTCTGGTCTAGGGACACATCCCAAACATGGGCTCCTTCTACACTTTTTCTTGCTGTGGTGTTGCTAGTGATTTGGTTTGTGCTTGGTTTGTGGGGTGGAATAAACAAATAAACAAAAATAAACAAAATAAATAAAAGCATAAATAAGAACTCTTCAGCATCTCTCATATCTTTCTGTTCTCTCTCTCCTTATCCTTACAGAGATAAATGGGTCCCGCTACACCTGTGAAGGACTGGTCTTCCCACTCCTCCTCCAGGACAGAGCAGCCCCTTCAGCATCCAATGATGCTCCCAGCCTGTGGGACCGCAAGTCTGTCATTGCGTGTATCTCACTGCCTCTACCCTTAAATGGGGAGGCTCGGGGAACCTCCAGCCCAGGGCCTCTGGAAATCAGTGTGGTGGACTCCCTAGATGGCCGAGCTCCTGGCGCCCCCCTCAAGGAGAGCCTGAACCACCTCAACCTTTCCCCATTGCTAAACATGCCTAAGCAGTGGCCTCTCAATCCCGGGCCAGAGGTAGACAAGGCTCCAGATAAACTTCTTGGGGGTGGAGGCCCACAAGAGGGGAGCCCTCCACTGGGCTCTGTGGGCTGCTTTGAATGCTTTGACTGCCATAAGACCTACCACACATTCTCTGGGCTCTCTAAACACCGGCAGCTGCACTGTGATCTGCAGGCCTGTCGCTTCTTCAGCTGCAAGTATTGTGACAAGGAATACTCAAGCCTGGGGGCCCTCAAAATGCACATCCGCACACATACCCTGCCTTGTATCTGCAAGATCTGTGGCAAGGCCTTCTCTAGGCCCTGGCTCCTCCAAGGTCATATCAGGACTCACACAGGTGAGACTGGGGGAGGGGTGAACTAAGCGAGCTTTTGGGGTCAGAGGAGAAACTAACTTGAAGGAAGAGAATTGCTGGTCATCTAACAGGATAGGAGTAATCAAACATGACCCCCTCAAAACACCACACACACACACACACACACACACACACACACACACACACACACATTTCCTTTTCCTCATGCAGAAACAAGAAACTTTGCAATTTCTCCTGCAGTCTAAATCTGTTGTTTGAATCTGAGTCTTTGCAAACTGAATCTGTTTTCTTTGCAAACTGAATCTGTTTTCTCATACCCTACTGTAATTCAGAGTTTGGGGGTAGCAGAGGTTGAGAGAATGGAAGAATTGTACAGAGGTGAGGAATATGTGAAATTATGGCTGGGGAATTCACTGGGAAATTGGGAGAAGCTATGGTAAACATAATTTACCCATGAAAGATTGATCAAATAGAAAAAGAAGCACAAGGCTTTAAGAGAGAGAGAGAGAAGACAGAATCCACAGACACCAAAAAACAAAGAGAGAAACTGAGGCAGGGAGAGATGAGGAAAGAGATGGAGACAATCATCCGAGAGAGAGAGAGAGAGAGAGAGAGAGAGAGAGAGAGAGAGAGAGAGAGAGAGAGAGGGGGGGGGGGGAGGATTCTACTCACCCATCCTTTACAGTCAGTGGTTTGCCTGTATTCATAGTGGTATTCAGAGCAGAAGAAAGATAACACATGGGGTAACACAATCCTCGCAAGCCTTTCAGCTGTGTCTGTATCAGAGCTTGCTGAGAATCTCATATGAACTACCCCAGAGGCACAGATTGGAAAGCAGACTCTTGCAAGAACCATTTTTTGGTCACCAGGGAATTGTTTCTTCTTGCTCTCTGCACTTAGGAAGAGGCTCTCCCCATTGCTACTTTCCCTCTTCAAAAGGGCCCTTGACTCAGTAAACACATGGGCTCCAGAATGTCAGGGGGTGGAGTGCTCTTGGGCCAGAGTGATCGGAATGCAAGGTGGCTCCACAGAAGGCTGTCCCTGGTGGCCATTTATCATGGGGGGTGCCCAGCCATAGGAAGAATACTAATGTTGGGTGGTGGAACCCAGCTAGTCTTACATATTCATCTGCCAGAGTCAGCTTAATGGGGTAAGGAACTGGCCAAGAGGCTGGAAGTTGTCCTTCTGATCCTGAGACCCAAGGTAGAATCATGCTCCAGGGTTGCTAATGACTCTTGCATCCAGGCGCTTGACCTAGAGATTTTCTTTCTTGATTTTTCCTCAGGGCCCAGAATTTGCATTTGGTATATAGCTTTTTGTACTTCTAGACATAAAGGTAGCTAGGTGGCACAGTTAAAAGAGTACTGGGCCTAGAGTCAAGAAGATCTAAGTTCAAATACAGCCTCAGATATTTATTAGTTGTGTTACTTCTGTTTGCCTCAGTTTCCTTAACTGTAAAGTGGGGATAATAATAGCACCTACCTCCTAGGGTTGGCATAAGGTTCAAATGAGATAATATTTGTAAAGTATCTGGCACACAGTAGACACTATATAAATGCAAGCTATGATTATTCTGGAGGATTTTCCCCCCATTATAAATTTTCCTAAGGAAATAGTTTCGTCGTTAGAGCACAGATGAGACATTCTGAATCTACCGCCAAATAGCTTTGTGACATTGGGAAATTTCTGTTGACTACTCTGCCCCAATATTCCTTCCAGTGGGAGAAAGAGGGCAGTAATAATTCCTTTTCCTTATCATCTACCTTATAGGGCAGGGAATGTGATCATGAGAATGAATTCCCATTCATAATAGGTATGAAGCACTCTGAATATTTTTTAAAAAATGTATTCTGTTCAAGGTGGCTCATTTAAACTTGTTCCTATAATATAGGGCAGCTTTAAATTGGACCTATTTTCAGTGGTCTTATACAAGAACTCAGTCTTGTTCTGGACTGCTCAGGGAAGGGAAGCTAGAAATTAATACCCTGGACAGACTAGTCATTTAGGTTTCATATTTTCCTCTCCCCAGGTGAGAAGCCATATGCCTGTTCTCACTGCAGCCGGGCCTTTGCTGACCGCTCTAACCTTCGAGCCCACCTGCAGACCCACTCAGACATCAAGAAATACCAGTGTAAGAGTTGCACCAAAACCTTCTCCCGCATGTCCTTGTTAACCCGACACAAGGAAGCAGGAAGCTGCCCAGCCTCCTGATGGCCAAAAGTGGCCAGGGAAGTTAGGGGAGGAGGGGACCTGAACTGGAATACCCAGTGCTGGGGGTCACTCTTGGAAGTCTCTCTGGAATCAGGCAAGGAACATCTGCATCACCAGGAGAACTGCATCGTGGGTTATGGCAAGAACCTGAGTCATCACTCTTTCCTTTTCCATTTGGAGCTAATCCATCCAAGCAATGCACTTAGATCAGTGTGGCTCTCCTGGGTCCCTCATCTGTGCCTCGCATTTCACTTTGTCCCCTTTTGAGGCTTTGCTCCTGGCTGGGCAAAGAGTGTGCAAGGTGAGAAGAAGCCATTTCCTTGGTTTACAATCTAACGCACTCCATTTCATTCTTCAAGAATTGGGGCCTGGTAGGATTTAGGGAGAAGGAAAGAAATCCCAGCTGATGAGCCAAAGATCATTAGGATATACTTCTCTACCCTGATGGAACTGGCACCCTTTCCCATCAGTGACTGGCCAACACTCTGACTTAGGCACATCCAGCATTGCAGACCAGACTGTGATTTTACCCAGGACTAGTGGCATGCTCTAGTGTCTAAGAAACTGATTTAAGCATCAGTGAACCTGAGCTCTGGGCTTGTTTCTGACTGCATGGGGCTCAGGGCAAGCTGTTACATATCCCTTCGCCTTGTTTTCTCTCCCATAAAAACGGGGAAAAAATGTGTCTACACCAGACAATGGCAGTAATGGTTGGTGGAGGTAAGTGGTGGGGGAGGCTCCCCCTGCCAGACTGGCACCTTTACTGAGCCATCCTAGGCTATTGTTGGGGCTGCTGCCTTCTGTAAGGAAATACATCTGTGGAATATTAAAAGAGGAGTCCCCAAGCTGCTGTCTGTCCTGTTCTTTGAACTTAGATTTTCTGGGTGGTTCCCTGGAACTAAAGTCATCCAAACACATAGGTGTCAAGCGCTTGTATCGAGGTGCCAGGCATGATGGCGAAGGGCTGGGGATACTTCAAAGGTGGGTGAAAAGGGACAGCGCCCAATTTGGAACCATGCCCAAAGGGCTATAAAATCGAGCATACCTTGTCCCAAAGAGATCATACAAATGGGAAAAGGACCCACATGGACAAAAATATTCACAGCAGCTCTTTTTGTGGTGGCAAAGAATTGGAAATTGAGGGGATGACCATCCACTGGGGAATAGCTGAACAACTTGTGGTATATGAATGAATGGAATGGAATACTATTGTGCTATAAGAAATGATGAGCAGGTGGACTTCAGAAAAACCTGGGAAAAGTTACATGAACTGATGCTGAGTGAAGGGAGCAGAACCAGGAGAACATGGGACACAGTAACAGCCACATTGCACAATGTTAACTTTGATAGACTTGGCTTTTCTCAGCAATGCAAGGATCTAAGACAACTCCAAAAGACTCATCATGGAAAATGCTCTCCACACCCAGACAAAGAACTATGGAGTCTGAATGAAGATCGAAGCATACTATTTTCAAGTAGTGTTTTTTTTTTGGTGGCTCTTCCCTTTTGTTCTGTTTCTTCTTTCACAACATGACTAATGTGGAAATCTGTTTACATGACTACACATGTATAACCCGCATCAGATAGCTTGCCGTCTTGGGGAGGGGGATGTGACGGGAGGGAAGGAAAAAAAATTTGAAACTCAAAATCTTATAAAAAATAAATGTTGAAAACTAAAAAAAAAAAAGATGCTGACCTTACAATCTAATGAGGGAGACGTAAATAAATAGAGACATACATGCCTCTATAAATAGAGGTATACAAGATACAGTCAGAGTAGATAGACGGTAACCTTGGAGGGAAAGGTTCTAGAAGTTAGGAGAAGGGAAGGCCTCCTACAGAAGATGGGCATTTGAGCTGAATTTCAAAGGAAGCAATGGGTTAATTAAGGAGTTTGAGCTCAGCGTATATAACCTATATCAAATTGCTTACAGTCTGAGGGAGAAGAAGGGGGGGGGAAGGAAAAAATTTGGAACTCAAAAATTTTTTTAAATGTTAAAATTTGTCTTTATATGTAATTGGGATATATATATATATGTATTAGGCAATTGGGGTTAAGTGACTTGCCCAGGGTCACACAGCCAGTAAGTGTCACGTGTTTGGTCTCAGGCCAAATTTGAACTCAGGTCCTCCTAACTTCAGGGCCAGTGCTCTATCCACTGTGCCACCTAGCTGCCCCGATAAAATATTATTTTTAAAAAAGAAGTTTGAGCTGAAAGACAGCTTTCAACAGTATTCTAGTATAATCTGGCCCTCTATCTGAATAGAAGAAATATGGAAGATGGAGTGGGGAGGTGGGGGGGAGAGAGAGAGAGAGACAGAGAGACAGAGAGACAGAGACACAGAGAGAGATGGGATACTTTGTGGGAAAAGAAGAGGTGGAGTGTGGGGAATGAGGATGTAGTATGGAGGAAGTAAATGCCATGAAGAGAGGATAATGAGAAACAGTGTTGAAGAAATGAAGAAGGGGAGGATTTATTGGAGCCCTTATGAGATACTGTAGTGTTGGTAGGGCACCTGAAGAGTAGGGTATCGTTTTCTTCCACATATTCAATAAGCATTAAGTACCTGCTGTGTGCCAGGCACACACAGAATACACAATATTCTAACTTGGGAATAATTACACAGAAAACCCTGGATTGTCTAACAGCTTTTGATGACTGCTACATGACATTTTACTGAGGAGATGGAGTTAAACAAAACTTCCCCTTCTGAATTCTGTTGACTTCTTTCTTACAGAAATGCCCTATGCAAGCGCCGTGTTCCTTTAATGCCTTGCTCTGCGTAGGTGTCGATGCTGACTGCTGCGCTTTCCTGTTTGTTGGCGAGGATACTCGTCCTTAGAAGCTCCCTAACTCGGTGATGCTACCAAGCTAGGCTCCCCCCACTCAGCTTTATTGCCCTCGTCCCCCAGCTTTGGGGGTTTCATGTCTGATGCCCCTCCCATCCCTTCCCCCTGATTTGCCTTCTTCCCATTCTCAGGCCTGCCTGGACAGCCACTCATTGGGCTGTCCTCACCTCCTGCCAGTGGATCTTGGAGTCCTCCTCAGCTCTGCCCTGAAGGGATGGCCTCTAGGAATGAGCCAGGGAGGGGCCTTGACCGAGGCTGATTGAGTTCTTGACGCCTCCACCAAGATGCCTGGTGGGGAGATTTTCTGGAGAGGACAGCTGTCCCTCGGCAGTGGGATTGGCCCGTTCCCAGCAGTTCTGCTTCTGGCCCGGGCCTGGGAACACACGTTGGTCACCACTGTCCTAGGTCTGGAATGAGGTCATCCAGCAAATGGTAAGAGCTCTCATTACTGTTCTCCTACACTACCCAGAACCCAGTCAAGCAATCAGCAAGCACTTATTAAAATACATATTCTACACCAATCACTGAGCTAAGTGTTGGGGATAGATACAAAGACAAAACTTAAACAGTCTCTACCACTTACTGCTTATATTGGGATGGAAAGGTGGGTGGAGAGAGACAATACATTTACACATTATAGAAATATATGCAAAAGAAAAAACTGCCAGCTTGCTCCCAGAGTTCAGAATTTACTTTACTCATGCTTAGACACAAGATGCCTTCTTTCTGACCCATTGGTTTAGCAGGTTACAGTCTAGGCCCCAAAGAAGATACATGAGCCAAGTTATTCTGCTCTGGCCTGATGATGCCACCCAGCTTGAGCTCATGACCAGGCACAGAAGACCATGGGTGCTTGGCTAGGTGCCAGTTCACTGAGGGACTTGGGTCCACTCTGGTAGAACTTGAGCTGGGATCTCCAGCCCAGCATGGATGTCCTGAGATTGTTCCAGTTTCAACCAGAAACTGCCCGACCTGCACATCAAACCTGAGCTCAAAGACAGTACTTTCAATGCTGTATTCTCAGCTAATCCCTATCATTCATGCCCCTCCTTTCAATCAATAAACAATTATTATGGGCAGCTAGGTGGCCCCATAGTCACAGAGTCCTGGGCCTGCAGTTTCCTGAGTTCAAATCTGACCTCAGACACTTACTAGTTGTGTGACCCTGGGCAAGTCACTTAACCCTATTTGCTTCAGTTTCCTCATCTGTCAAATGAGCTAGAGAAGGAAATGGCAAACCGTTCCAGTAGCTCTGCCAAAAAAAACCAAACCCAAATAGGGTCACAAAGAGTTGGACACAACTAAATGACCAGACAACAAAAACCTATACCTTGTTTCATGTGTAGTATCAAACACTGACAGTTCTTGTCCTCCAGAAGTTCAGATTCTAACGGAGGATAGTGGTGGGATTCTGGATCCTCCATACTGGCGTATGGGTGAGCTCAGGGTCTTCTCAGGCTTTTGCTAGGCTGGTAAGAGAGATAATGACCTTCCCTCATGGACTTAGCTTGCCTCAGTGTCTTTCCCTAAAATTTCTTCTCCGTCGGAGACTGAAGAGTCTTAGGAGTTGAAAAAATTACTTGGAAATCCCCCAAACCCCAGAGTTGTTTGGTAGTTATCAATTAGGTAAATAGCCTTTCCTTACATAATGACCAGCTGGAGTTTCGCCTTCAAAGATTAGAATCGGGAGATGTACGGATTGCTCACCATGGTCCACAGTGAGAGATGGTGTCACAGACGAGGACGTTAGCTGAAGTCCCAAGCTGGAAGCAACAAGTTGCTCCGTATATGTGCCCTCCCTGGATTCCTTTAAGTCCTAACTGAAATCCCACCTTCTAAAGGACTCCTTCTCCAACCCCTCTTAATTCCAGTGCTTTCCCTCTGTTAATTATTTCCTATTTTTCTTGTGTAGAGCTTGCTTTGTATATATTTGTTTTCGTGTTAGACTGTAGGCTCTCTGAGGGCAGGGACTGTCTTTCACCTCTTTTTGTATCTCCAGCAGTTAGCACAATGTATGGCACAGAGTAGGAACTTAATAAATGTTATTGAATTGAATTGAAATGCAGGTGGGATTATGCCTGGCAGCACCTGACAGAGACTTCAGGTGGAGATGCTGTGTGGAAGACGCCAGAACCACACCAAAGCGTCACTAGAAGACAGTCACATCTGTTCCCTCTGCATACATATGCCGCTTCCCTCACCTACAGAGGGTCACAAAGGAAATCAGGATACAAGCCCATCTGGAACAAGCAAATGTAACTTTTAGAATTTACCAGAAGGGCCTTGGGAGGCTTCCTGAAGCGTTCTCCTTCGATGTGCCATGACTCTCACCTCTTTTATCTGAACATGGATTCCTCTGCTCCTCCCCTCTACCACCTTCAGTCCAGAGTACACCTCTGTTATTACAGGTCAGGGTAAGAGGAGGATAATGTGGGACCTGTGAGTCAAAGGCCATGATGCCTTTGTGGGGCTCATCTCTGTGCTAACAGAGTAATCCCCCTCCTTGAACGGCTCACCAAAGCCATTTACCCTAGAGCTTAGCTTTGTTAGTGGAACAGATCAGACTTCCTGAGGGTGAGAAGAGGCCCCTTCCCCCAACCTGCTGATGCTGTTATCTCCCCTTCCCCAGCAAAAAGGCAAAGCCCAAGCAATATTTATATTCTGAGGGGTGGCTTAAAGGAGGATTACAAATAGAGGCCAGATGCCTAAAGGAAGCTATATTGTAAATTGTGATCTATTTTGGGGTTCCAAAATCTAAATGAAGCCATTGCACCTGTCAGGCATGGAGGAGGAGAATTTCACAGGCCTAAAATAAAGCCAAATATTTTCCCATGGAAAATGCTTTTTATATTTAACTCCAGGTTGGCAGGGAGGTCAGGGGAATAGATGGTAGGTTGGCAGGGGGGTAAGGAGAGATGGTGGACGTTTGCCAATCTTCAAAGCCAGGGTGAGAATTGATATGTAATGAATGAATGAGATTTTCCACTTAGAGTAAG